ATATGGGTCAAAGAAAGACCTGCTGAATGAGTCACCTTTTTTTGGCCACGTGGTCTGCCCAGTGATCTTACGTAGTTAAGTTTCAGCTTCCCCAGAAATGTTAATCCAGGTATAACTAACTAGTGGTATTGGCTATAGCATAAACACCTCCTTGCTCAGCTAAAAGATAATCAAGAGCTATCCTATTATCAAGAAAAACTCTGGCTAGAAAGTCTAAGGATCTCTTTTGGGCTGCTATTGCTTTTGCAGATTTTGCAATAATTTTAAGAATTAAGGAGAAGTTCTTGATCATAGCCTCATTACATTTATCCCTAACCAGGGAAATAGGGACCTGTCAAAGAAGTGAATCCTGAATCGTGAATATCTCCTGCTAGTTCCTTTTTAAGTCAGCAATGTTAAGTATAGGGGAGCCTGCCAGTGAGATGTCTTATTTTGCTTAATAAAAGTTAGAGGCATAGATTTTCTCCTAGCCTGATATAAATGGTTGTTCTAGTTTCCAGAAGTTACCTCCTTAGTTATGGCCTGGGAGGTAAAGATGAGTATGTTATCTTTCCAAGCCAATGCCAGAGGAAAGGAAAGGAAGAGAAGAAAGAGTTTCATGTTTAGTTAAAGTATGAAATCTTGATCCATGGTCCTGGGCAGTAACAAGACTGTTAGTCAGTTACTGACTGTTACAGTAGCAAGACTGTAGCTGATGTCAGCTACTTCTCTTCCTCATCAAATTGATTTGGCGGGTTTCCCCTGTCTGTGCAGCACTGGATGTCCAGTGGAGCCTTTTGTGAGATGTGTATTCAAGGCTCAACACCTTTTAATTTTGCAGCAGTGTCCGTGGTCAGGAGCACTTGGTAAGGTCCCTTGCAACGAGGTTTGAGGGCTGGTGTCCTCTGATGATGTTTCTGGAATATCGAATCACCAGGCCTAGAATGTGACCAATGGGATCCTTTGAATTGGGATCTGGGATGGCTTCTTTAACCTGTTAATGATAGGCTTGAGGGTAAGACATTAGAGACTTATAGTAGCTGGTCATACTAGGCTGAAATAACAAGGGATCAGCAGAAGGTGATAGACATTGGTCTCTTGGTGATTTTCTCATGTGGAATGAGTTTGTTTTCCAAAGGGGAAACTGGGAACAGTCAGCAAGATCAAAAGCAATAGCTTAGCCAGGAAAGTTCAGGAGTTTCGTCAAGTTTAGAAGTTTTAAGTTTGAGGATCCCATTAGTTCTTTCAACCTTGACTGATGACTGAGGGTGATAAGGGCAATGAAAATTCAGAGAAGTTTGCAAGTCTTTCATTAAGGCTTGTATGATGTGCCCAGTGAAGTAGGTGCCTCCATCACTGGAGATTACAGGAGGTATGCCTCAACTATACCACAGTTTGTTTATCCATTTACCCATCAATGGAGACTTGGTTGAGTTCCAGTTTTAGGCTGTAATGAATAATGCTGCTATGAATATGGGCATATAAATATCTCTTTGAGAGTCCCTGCTTTGAATCCTTTTGGCTATATACCCAGAAGTAGAATTGCTGGATACTATGGAATTTTATTGTTAAATTTTTGAGGAACTGCCATACTGTTTTCTTTGCAATTACCCCATTTTGCATTCTCACCAACAACACACAGGGATTCCAATTTCTCCATATCCTCACCAACACTATTTTCCACCTTAAAAAAAAAAAAAAATCGTTAGTAGCCATCTTAATGGGCGTGTGATAGTATCTCATTGTGTTGAATTTTTTTTCCAATATATGAAGTTTGTTGTCAAATTGGTTTCCATACAACACCCAGTGCTCATCCCAAAAGGTGCCCTCCTCAGTACCCATCACCCTCCCTCCCTCCCTCCCACCCCCCATCAACCCTCAGTTTGTTCTCAGTTTTTAAGAGTCTCTTATGCTTTGGTGTTGAATTTTTTTTTAAAGCTTATAAAATATTTAAGAGTGAGTTATATAATCACATGGCGGCAGTTTTATTTAATTAATTAATTAACTTTCGGCTCCTTGCCCAACATGGGGCTCGAACTCACGACCCTGAGATCAAGTTGCATATTCTACTGATTGAGCCAGCCAGGTGCCCCATATGGCAGCGATTTAAAAAAATGGAACTAAATCACCGGTGCTACTCTAACACCACTATTATTTTAATGTTATTTGGAGATGTATGACCATATATATATTACTCATGATTGGAGTCATAAACATTTCCCTTTTTTTTTTAACATGTTTTGTACAACAATCATTTGGATTTTAAGTTCCCAGGAAAATGTTACAAATGCTGAAGAATCTATATAGCATGATTGAATACTTACGAACATTTATAATTGCTTGGTTTCTTACATATAGAGAAGTACCTGGTTTATATGATTTTAGTTCATAGTCTGGATGATACAGTGACTAGTCTGTTTGAATTGCACATCTGCTACTTCTGGCTGTGTGTGTTTAAGCAAGTTTCTTAAGGTCTTGTGTCTCAGTTTCTTTATTTGTAAAGTGAGGATAATACCTCAGAGTTGTGAAGACCGAATGACTTAATACCTGTGGAGCTCTTGGAATTGTTTGTGGCACATCATGCATCTCATAGTAGACTTTGCTGCCCTTATTGTTTTATGGGGGGAGGATTGTATCAGCTTGGTTTTTAGAAGGATATGCAATATGCAAGTAAGTAACTTAGTGTCTTAGATCCTTAGCTTAGAATGTCACAAGCAGTGTTTTAGCGGAGGGTGCAGTCTATAAGATTGTTTTGGGAATTTAGAGAAGATAAATCTGAAGCAGACAATGTTGGGCAAATAGCTAAATTAGTAATATGGTACAACCGTCTCTTGGGGACTGTGATTTTTCAGGCTGCCATTTAGCCCTGACAACTACTCTAGGCTCTTTTGGTCAGCTTAGTCTTTTTGCTTTGGGCTTCCTTCCCCGTCTGGTTCCCCAGATTCCTTGGTTTGGTGCTCTGTGTTCCCTCTAACAACTTAAAAAAAAAAAAAAAAGTCTTATTTATTTTTGAGAGAGAAAGAGAGAATGAGAATAAGAATGAGTGGGGGAGGGGCAGAGAGAGAGGGAGACAGAGGATTCCAAGTGGGCTCTTGAGCTGACAGCAGACGGCCCAATGCGGGGCTTGAACTCATGAACCATGAGATCATGGCCTGAACTGAAGTCGGATGCTTAACCGACTGAGCCACCTAGGTGCCCCTATAACAGCTTTTATTAAGTTGGTAATTTAAGTCAGTTGCACCGATTTAAATTTTTACAAAATATAGCATTCTGTGATTTTTAATATCTTATTTCATTTGATATTCAGTATAAATCTGTGAGATGGTGAAGGAGTCCTCATTGAACAACTCTGGTTGTGCTAAGAGATTAAGTGACCTGCTTGATGTCTCAAAGTAATTGAATGGTTTATCTGGAACTTGAACTGAAGCCATCCGACTTTAGGGCAAATGTTTTATAATATTGTTTCTTCCTTGACATAACATGTTTTAAGGCAACACTTTGTTTCTTCTTCCCTAATTATTTGATGACATTTTTAAGGATTTCTAAATATTACATAAAGATAACATGCCCCCCCTCTTTTAAATTAAACAGAAATTTTTTTAATGTTTATTTTTGAGAGACAGAGAGACAGAGTGTGAGCCAGGGAGGGGCAGGGAGAGGGAGACACAGAATCCGAAACAGTTCCAGGCTCTGAGCTGTCAGCACAGAGTCCAGTGCGGGGCTTGAACCTACAAACTGTGAGATCACGACTTGAGCCGAATTTGGGTGCTTAACCGACTGAGCCACCCAGGCACCCCCCCTCTTTTAAATTTAATAGCTAGTAAAATTATCTAATTCCTGCTCATCTACATCAGCTGCATTTTGTAAGTCTTTTATCCTACAAAAGAAAAGAATGAGTGAAATCTGAGTTCTAAAGATTTTACCTGATTACATCCTTAATTTTTTTTACAAGGGTGTTCTCTGAAAAGCTTTTCATGTTTCATACTTACATTTATTTTATAATATTGGAAAAGGTAGATTTCTCCCTTACTGCCTAGCATATGTAGTACCTTGCTCATTTCAACATTACTGTCCAACTTAAATTAAATCTTGGCATTAGAATATCTTTACGGTTCTACTTTTCCCTTTTTCCTCTGCCTTGTCCTCTTCCAGATCTGTTTCTAATTGTTTTTCTTCTGCAGCCCCAACAATCTCGGGTCCTAGAAAGAATGTACCTTGAGTTGTAGGGTCTATCACATTTCATGATGTGAAGAATATTTTTCTGCTTAACTGCTCTTATATTCTTAATGTATGTATTGGTTCTTCACATAATTTCATTATTTATTAATTTATTAATACTTATTATTTATTTATAAGTAACCGCTACATCTAGCATGGGGCTTGAACTCACGACCCTGAGATCAAGAGTTGCATGCTCTACCAATTGAACCAGCCAGCCCCCCCCCTCACGTAACTTTAAAAATTAATTTGTTGGGGCGCCTGGGTGGCGCAGTCGGTTAAGCGTCCGACTTCAACCAGGTCACGATCTCACGGTCCGTGAGTTCGAGGCCCACGTCGGGCTCTGGGCTGATGGCTCAGAGCCTGGAGCCTGTTTCCGATTCTGTGTCTCCCTCTCTCTCTGCCCCTCGCCCGTTCATGCTCTGTCTCTCTCTGTCCCAAAAATAAATAAACGTTGAAAAAAAAATAAAAAAAAATTAATTTGTTACTTTCGGCATATATGAATTCCTACCTTGTTGCTCCTCTTAGTATCTCCAGTAGTACAAGTCACTTCTTTTGGTGAGAATATAAATTAAATAAGGCTCAACTTTTGTTTTTTTTTTTTTCATGCAATTAGCTGCATAACATATAATGAACTCTGAATATTATCAGTATACTGTTGATTTGCTCATTGTCAAATCTGAGATCTGATTTCCTTGGCAGATATGTAGACTTGTGATAGGCATTTGGCATTTTATGTTTTGGGCAGTGTAACTTTAAATCTACATAAACTTCTCTGCCTTTTGCCTCTGCTGTGTTCATAGATTCCAGGAGGGCTTCGTGTATGGACCTCAAGCGTTGGAGGTAGCAGACTTTTCAGCAGAAGGTAAAGCAGAGTGTTGCCTTCTGGTGTCACTGTGTGTGTGTGCTGGGGTGGGTATGTGACAGGTGAGAACTCGTCACAAATGTCGCCACAAAATAATTTATAATGATGCATTAAATAATTCACAAAATTAAAGACCAGGTTCTATAATTTTATTTAGTATTATTAAAATCCGTACAAAATATAAACCTTTAGATAGAACTAAAGACTGAATTTCACTCTCTGCTGTTAACTAAAGAGTAGGAGTGATTAAGAAAAGAGAGCATCATAATGTATGGTTTCTACTGCCTCGCTTTCTCAGACCTAGCTTCGTGATGATTTCTTCCTGGGAAGTTGTCCAAGGCATTATTCATATGTTGTATTCTTCCCTGCTGCTCCTTTTACTGAAAGATTGCTTCACAATAGAGGCAGCCTAGTCCATGACTCATGACTAGAGGATAGACATTCTTGCTGTAGGTCCCATGTGCCAAAAATGTTAGTTTCCAATATGTTAATTACTTCTCTCTTCAGAGTGTGTTAATATGCTCTTCTCTCAAGTTAGTTCTTGTCTCAGGAGAGAAACAAACACATCCCACATATTTGTAAAATATGTTTTTATAGAGACCTTCTTAATGAGTTACTTTTAAAGAAAATAATGTGACACACCTTTCCGGGGTAATGCTCCTTTGACTTTTTTTTTTTTTTTTTAATTTTTTTTTCAACGTTTATTTATTTTTGGGACAGAGAGAGACAGAGCATGAACAGGGGAGGGGCAGAGAGAGAGGGAGACACAGAATCGGAAACAGGCTCCAGGCTCTGAGCCATCAGCCCAGAGCCCGACGCGGGGCTCGAACTCCCGGACCGCGAGATCGTGACCTGGCTGAAGTCGGACGCTTAACCGACTGTGCCACCCAGGCGCCCCTCACATTTTCTATTATCACAGTAGTTAAGGTCAGCCAGGAAAACATGCGAAACTGAAATTTTCTCAAAAGAAGATTCCTCGGTGGTATAGGTTTGGCAGAAACTTAAGTAGTATGGTGAAAAACATGTATTTCAATTTGAAGTGTTGATTTTCACATCTTAAAAGAGGACTTTGGCTGCCTCCGGTTGGGCTTCAAACTTTCCAGTTGGGTTCTTTCCAGTTTGTCTGTAGCTCAAGCGGAAGACCCTGAGGGCAAAGCGTCCTCTGATGGGAACTGAAACTACCCACTAGAGCAATGAGGACAGCCCTGAGCCAGCAAAACCCCCACCCGTGATTGACTCCAGCAGTGATTGATTTGACCTTCACTGCCCACCTGCACATACCCGCCCATCTTTGCCCCGCATTTTCCCTATATAAAGCTGGAAGTATTTTCAGCGCTTTGGCGACAGCCTTCGGGATGCTGGTCCACTGTCTTCTGGGCACTGGCCTCCTGGAATGGAATTCCTTTCTTGTTCCTCACCGCTTATTTCCCTTTCTCTGGTGAAAGAGAGATCGGCATGTGGCCGATCCTGCTCTGTTTGGGACCCCTGGAGCCAGGTGCTCTTGTACCCCTGTGCCCCGGTCACAATCTTGACTCTGAATTTGTCTTTTGAGTATTTCTTTTTCATTGAGACTTATGATTTGGGATGATCTTGTGAAGACAGAAATAGGAAACTGTGCCTAAAAGGAGCAAGTTGTTGTTCTCGTATCTCACCTGACAGTGCTAGATTTGAGAATGAGAAAGTAATTTCTATTTTTCTCCTTTCCTCCTAGAAGGAGATAGTTTGCTTTCTGGTTATTTTTTTTAGACCTGATGACTTTTCCATTAAAACTACTGGTGTTTGTGGGGCGCCTGGCTGGCTTAGTTGATAGAGCATGCGGATCTTGATCTTGGGGTTGTAAGTTCAAGCCCCACGCTGGGTGTAGAGTTCACTTAAAAAAAAAAAAATTAAATGGAGCCTGGGTGGCTCGGTTGGTTAAGCATCCAACTCTTGATTTCCGCTTAGGTCAGGATCCCAGGTTTCATGAGATTGAGCCCCACATCGGGCTCTGTGCTGACAGCCCGGAGCCTGCTTGGGATTCTCTCTCTCTCCCTCTGTCTGTCCCTCCCCTACTCATTCTCTCTCCCTCTTTCCCTCCTTCCCTCTCTCTCTTTCCCCTGCTCTCTCCAAATAAACTTTTAAAGAAATAAAATTTTCCAGAATTTCTATTATGCTGAAAATATTTTTTAAGTTGATCGAGACTAATAAAAACATTTATTTCAGTGCAACAAATGTTTAGTTTCTACTATTTGCAAGGCACTTTATTAGCTCCTAAAAAATAAAGAGAAATGAGTAAGATAGTCTCCTTCCTCATTTGGAGATGGGGAAAAAAGACATGAGTCAATTCCAAGTAATTCTAATAACAAAGTAGAGTACAGTACAGTCCTTGAGAGAGTTTGAGCGCAAAGTGCATAATCTACTGGTCCATGGTCTCGTCAAACACCAGCAGCTGCCAAATACGACCAGCTTTCCTCCATTCCCTCCTCTTTGTCTTTGCTTCTACATTGGATGCTTTGGCCCAGCTACGTTTTAATACTTGTCTTTTGGCTTTTGTATACAACTTCCTTATTTTTCTTTTAACTTGCTAACTACCGCTTGTTACTTTGTTCTTTGTTTTTTTTTAAATTAAGAAAAGTTTGTAAAAGCGGAAAAGTTTAAACTATAGAACAATGAACATCCACACACCCTCCACCTAGATTTCAGTCTTGTTACCATTTTTCTGTATTTCTTTATCTCTCGCTCTGTGTGTGTCTATATACATATATGTATATGTATATATGTACATATACATATACACATACACACATATATATATACATATATATATATGTATATATATATAGTGTGTGTGTGTGTCTTTTGCTGACATTGACCATTTGAAATTAAGCTGCCAGTGTCATGACATGCCACCCCAAAATACTTGAATGTGTATCTCCTGACAATGAGGATATTCTGTATAACCATCATACCATTATCCTCTACTTAAGAAAATTAATAAAACACAGGGTGCCTGAGTGGCTCAGTCAGTTAAGCATCTGACTCAATTTTGACTCAGGTCATGATCTCACAGTTCATTGGATTGAGCCCTGCATTGGACTCTGTGCTGTCAGCATGAAGCCTGCTTGGGATTGTCCCTCTCCCTTTCTCTCTGCCCTTCCTCTGCTCTCTCTCAAAATAAATAAATAGAAACTTAAAAAAAGAAAATTAATAAAATAAAAATTAAAAAATTAAATTAGCCATGATAAAATAACATCTAGTCTATGGATTTTCACTGCTGTCCTACAAATAAACCTTTTTAGCTGGGTTTTTTTTTTTTTTTCCTTTTATTTAAATCCAAGTTAGTTGACATATAGTGTAATAATGGTTTTGGGAGTAGAATTTAGTGATTGGTCACTTACGTATAACACCCAGTGCTTATATATAACAAGTGCCCTTCTTAATGGCCATCACCCATTTAGCCCATCCTCCTACCCAACACCCCTCCAGTAACCCTCAGTTTGTTCTCTGTATTTAAGAGTCTCTTATGGTTTGCCTCCCTCTCTGTTTTTAATCTTATTCTTCCTTCCCTTTCCCTATGTTCATCTGATTTGTTTCTTAAATTTCACATATGAGTGAAATCATATATTTGTCTTTCTCTGACTTATTTCGCTTAGCATCATACACTTCTAGTTCCATCCACGTTGTTGCAAATGGCAAGATTTCATTCTTTTTGATTACTGAGTAATATTCCATTGTATATATTTACCACCTCTTCTTTATCCATTCATCAGTCAATGTGTATTTGGGCTTTTTCTGTAATTTGGCTGTTGTTGTTAGTGCTACTATAAACCTGGAGTACATGTGCCCCTTTGAATCAGCATTTTTGCATTCTTTGGATAAATATCTACTAGTGCAATTGCTGGGTTGTAGGGTGGCTCTCTTTTTTAATTTTTTGAGAAACCTCCATACTGTTCTCCAGAGTGGCTGCACCAGTTTGCATTCCCACCAGCAGTGCAAAAGGGTTCCCCTTTCTCTGCATCCTCGCCAACATCTGTTGTTGCCTGAGTTTTCCATTTTAGCCATTCTGACAGGTGTGAGGTGGTATCTCATTGTGTTTTGATTTGTATTTCTCTGATGATGAGTTATGTTGAGCATCTTTTCATGTGTTGGTTGACCATCTGGATGTCTTTTTTGGAAAAGTGTCTATTCCTGTCTTTTGCCCATTTGTTCACTGGATTATTTGTTTTTTGGGTGTTGAGTTTGGTAAGTTCTTTATAGATTTTAGATACTAACCCTTTATCTGATATGTCATTTGCAAATATCTTCTCCCATTCTCTTGGTTGCCTTTTAGTTTTGCTGATTATTTCCTTTGCTGTACAGAAGTTGTTTATCTTGATGAGGTTCCAGAAGTTCATTTTTGCTTTTGTTTGCCTTGCCTGTGGAGACGTGTCGAGTAAGAAGTTGCTGTGGCTGGATCAAAGAGGTTGTTGCCTATTTTCTCATGTAGGATTTTGATGGTTTATTGTCTCATATTTAGGCCTTTCATCCATTTTGAGTTTATTTTTGTGTATGATGTAAGAAAATAGTCCAGATCCATTCTTCTGCATGTTGCTGTTCAGTTTTCCCACCATCATTTGCTGAACTGAGTGTCTTATTTCCATTGAGTATTCTTTCCTGCTTTGTTAAAGATTAGTTGGCCATATGTTTGTGGGTCCATTTCTTTTTTCTTTTAATTAAAAAAATTTTTTAATGTTTATTTTTGAGAGAGAGAGAGAGAGAGAGAGAGAGAGAGAGAGAGAGCGCGTGCCTGAATTGGGGAGGAGCTTAGAGAGATGGAGACAGAATCCCAAGCATGCTCCAGGCTCTGAACTTGTCAGCACAGAGCCTGATGCGGGACTCAAACGTTTGTGGGTCCATTTCTGGCTTCTCTATTCTGTTCCATTGACCTATGTGTCTGTTTTTGTGCCATTACCATACTGTCTTGATGATTATAGCTTTGTAATACAGCTTGAAGTCTGGAATTGTGATGCCTCCAGCTTTGG